GGGGGGGCAACATCAATACACCGGAGCACAAGTAAGTGTTAAATTGGCCAATAGTTACATTCAAACGGTTCCAGTGGCCAAGATTGAGGTGGACACCCCCTTCTTCTCAGGTTGGGTCACTGCAGCATCTCATCATTGGGAATATCAAGGGAGCAAGAAACAGTTGTGCAGTGGATGCTGCAACCAAAACTGATGCTGCTGCTTTGACCCAAGTTAATGCTGCTGCAGTCACTCGGGGTATGGCTCAAACAAAACCTCGAGTCACCCCATTGGCTATTGCCACATCGTCTGATCTCATCAGTAGTCAGGATGTCGTCCAAGAGCAAGAGCATGACAGCACGCTCACTTCGGTACACAAGAATTTGATAGTTGGGACCACCAAGGAGACATTTGGGAATCGAACGAGGTTCGTAAAGAAGGGGAACCGTCTCTACCGAGAGACTGTGACGTCTCTGGATGAAACACGACTGCAGTTCGTGGTTCCTTCCAAGTACCGCCTGGCTGTGTTTAAGCTAGGTCATTGCACTGCTCTTGGCGGTCATATGGGTAAAAAAAAGACCTTTGATCGCATCAGTGCAGCGTTCTTCTGGCCAAGGGTGGCGGTGGACATTGTAGGACCGATAAACCCAAGGGCGAGCGATGGGGCAAAGTATATTCTCACCTTGGTGGACTTTAGCACGAGGTGGCCCGAGGCTGTGCCCTTGAGGAACATTGAGGCCACGACTGTTGCAGAAGCCATGTTGGAAATCTTCTGTCCGGTTGGTATTCCCAAACAAGTCCTCAGTGACAGGGGGACCCAGTTTACTTCTGCCATGATGGAGGAGTTGATGCGGTTGTTATCGGTAAAGGGGCTAAGGACAACACCCTATCACCCGATGTGCAACGGACTCTGTGAGAGGTTTAATGGGACGCTGAAGAAAATGCTCAGGAGGATGGCAGCCGAACAACCTAAGGAGTGGCCGCGCTACATTGCCCCACTTCTCTTCGCGTACCGGGAGATGCCACAGAGCTCACTCAGGGTGTCTCCCTTCGAGCTTATGTACGGCAGGTTCTTCGGGAACTGTGGGATGATGAGAAACCAGATCCGGAAGTCAAGACCACTTATACATATGTCATTGACTTAGCTGATTGTCTCCAAGAAACCTGTCAACTGGCAAAGCAAGAGCTGATAAAGGCTCAAGAGGTCCAGAAGACTTACTATGACAAGAAGGCCAAGCTTCGTTGTTTCCAGCCAGGTGACCAGTGCCCGGTTCTGTTGCCTACGATGCGCAATAAGTTACTGGCTCAGTGGAAAGGTCCATTCAACATTGTAGAGCGTGTCTCGGATCTGACTTACATCGTCCAGGTGGGATCTCGACGAAAGAAGTTCCACATCAACATGCTGAAGAAGTACTTCCAGTCACCGATCGGGGGTACAGTCTCCACTGAGGAAGACAGGGACTAGCCTTCCCAGTGTGATTCAGGGGTAACTTGTGCTGCCACAGTGATCTCTGCCAGTGATGAGGAGGATGGGCCTGTCACTGCACGCTCCCGCCAGAGTGAGACTTTCACGGACGTTGAGGTGAACGGAAATCTATCAGCAGAGGAACGAGATGCCATTGGCTCTCTGTTGCATCGCTACAAGGACATCTTCTCTGATAAGCCAGGAGTTGCCCGGGTCGACTGTCACACTATTGAACTGACCAGCCCTACACCTGTTCGGGTAAAGCCCTATCCTATACCTATGCGACTACTGGACACTGTCAAACAAGAAATTGAGGAAATGGAAGCAGTAGGAATCATCGAGAAATCATCGTCTCCATACTGTAGTCCTATGGTAGTCGTCCGAAAAAAGGATGGGGGTGTCAGGTTCCAAGTTATTTACCAAACTTGATCTGACCAAGGGGTTCTTCCAAATCCCATTGGACCCGAAGAGTCGGCAGATCACAGCCTTTGGTACGCCAGGGGGTCTCTATCAGTACAGAGTCCTTCCCTTTGGTCTCACAAACTCCCCTGCCATCTTCAACCGTGTCATGAGGCAAGTCCTAAACGGCATCAAGGGAGTTGAGGCATTTGTGGACGATGTGTTAATCCATTCAGCAACATTTGAGGAACACCTGGAACTCTTAGAGGAGGTGTTCCGGAGGTTCCAACAAAAAAACATGACCGTGAAACCAAGCAAGTGCGAGATCGGTCAGGCTGCAGTACAGTTCCTCGGGCACACTGTCGGCGGAGGACGCTGCACCTGTCAGAATGAGAAGATCAAAAAGGTCCAAGATGCACCACGGCCCACTACAAAAAAACAAGTGAGGTCATTTCTGGGCCTCGTAGGGTACTACCGGAACTTCATCCCAAACTTTGCCGTGGTGGCTCTCCCTTTATCCGACCTGCTCAAGAAACATGCATCTAACAAGGTGCAATGGGGACCTGAACAAGAGGATTCTTTCAGTGCCCTCAAGAACCTGCTATGCAAGCAACCCATCCTTCAACTGGTGAGGAAGGAAGAGCCTTTCATCCTCCGGACCGATGCTTCACAGGATGGGGTTGGCGCAGTGCTACTACAAGAGGCAGACGGCGAGGTTTTTCCAGTTGCGTATCACAGTCGGAAGTTGAAACCTGCGGAGAGGAATTACAGCACGGTTGAGAAGGAACTTTTGGCAGTGGTGGAAGGCATCAAGAAGTACTACTACTATCTCTACGGAGGTGAGTTTGTGTTGGAGACAGACCACATGCCGCTCACCAGTCTCCGACCATCTAAGAATGCAAATGCTCGTCTGATGCGGTGGGCACTGTATCTCCAGCAGTTCAACTTCGTCCTCCGGTACATCAAGGGCAGCCTGAATGTGGGGGCTGACCTCCTATCTCGACTTGTGGCGGAACCAGAGCAACTGATTGAGAGGTCACCTTCCCAAATGAGTGTGGAGTTGGTCTAGACTCCAGTCGACTCGAGCCTCCAAGCGTCTGACGGCTCGTCATATGTTATGTATTTTTCTCACACCTTTCTACACTTGAGAACATAACACAACACCTGTGCCACCTAAACAATGTCTACATACCCTACACCACACAACACGTTGCTGTAATGTAAATATAGCGTGCTTACGCTTAGCATGAACTATTGCTCGGGAATTGTCACCCTCGCCGCGGAGTTTTCCTCCAGCCAGAAAAACTAAAGTAAATGTTGAGGTTTTCCCTCAGTGGCGATTGGCGACTACATTCCGTTGCAGTGTTAGTGTTACACACACACCACAGTGTGAATGTCGAATTGTGTGTCTGGGCTAGGCATTCTCTTGATTGTATACAGGTGCTAAAAATTTATTCTCCAAAGAAAAATTTTCTTAGTAGGGGCGATTGTCATGGGTTGCGTTGGGCCTCCCGCACAACCCATCCCAAATGTTTGTTTAGGTAGAGATAAGGTACCCGGCCAGCCGATAGGGGTCATTTCACGCCTCAAAACCAGTGCTACGAGTCTGTGTGTGCAAATCCCCGAGATTGTTGTTAAGTCCAGCGACAAGTTAACACATCCTGTAAAGGAAGTGATCAATGGTGAGGGCCTGTTTGCTACAAGAGCACTCCAGGCCGGCCTAATAGATCTAAACGATTAATTCTCCAGGTTGACAAACTCTCCCTTATAACTTACGGTACTGTGGCGTGAATGTGAGTGACTGACCTATCCATGCAAATTATAAGTCCAGTGTATGGAATTGTGCCAAATAAACGTAAGTGCAATGATCTGCCCGTATCTGTGATCCCTCTATTATTATTATTACCAAAGGTAATGACTATTTGGTTATGACAAAGTATAACCAATAACTTAGATGGATGTTGGAAATTAATGGAATTCATTAAATCATCATTTATCAAGTACACAACGCATTGAATGCCGGAAGCAGAGTGAAATTCTACGTAGTGATACACCATAATCTCCTGGGTGAGTAACCAGTGTGAAGGTATCTGAGTTCTACGGTAAGAAAACCACTTTCCTGCATTTAAAACGTACATTCAGGAAAAAGGCGAGAGTTCAAATCTCCTGTTTTCACAAAGTTGACGCATTTTACCACTACCTCCAGGATCTTGCAAAGGGCATCAGGAAAGGTTTTCGCCGCCAGTGCAAAACGATGGATCATACAATGAACCCCTTTGGCACTCGGAGCTACTTCCTTGACGTGCTTCTGTAATCCCGATTTCGATCCCAGCATCGCCGGAGTCCCATCAGTACAGCCTCCACAACAAATTTTTCCATGTGATCCTGTTAGCTGTGAAGAAATAAGTCAACTTTCCCATCACATCTAAAGCTGTTGTGGTAGTTTCAAGCTGTGTACAGAACAGATATTCATCCTTGATGTCACTCAAGAATACATACCCAGGTACCCAGTGATAACGGCCCGTGATACCCAACAACAACCAGCGATGTGTTAATCCGTCTACGATAGGAAGGCCTGACCACACCTCACTCATATAACACCATCTGTGAGGGAATTACTACACCACGTCAGGTCCCTCATAACACCATCTGTGAGGGAGTTACTACACCACGTGAGGCCCTCATAACACCATCTGTGTGGGAATTACTACACCACGTCAGGTCCCTAATGACACCATCTGTGAGGGAATTACTACACCACGTGAGGACCCTCATAACACCATCTGTGAGGTAATTACATCACGTGAGGTCCCCCATAACACCATCTGTGAGGGAATTACTACACCACGTGGTCCCTCATAACACCATCTGCGAGGGAATTACTACACCACGTCAGGTCCCTCTTAACACCATCTGGGAGGGAGTTACTACACTACGTGTTTGCTGATCAACACGTACAATCCTACATTATTCTGTATGTTTACTGTATGTTCCTTTACCTTTCTCTTATGAAGGCTTTTGTTAAACTACCAATGTATGTAATAAGTCATTTATGTCCAATGTATATTTTCAGCCTTCGGGCTGCAGAACTTTTTCAATAAACCGTCAATTATTATTATTATTATTATTATTATTATTATTACCTAACAAACACGAATTACTGTGCACAAGAACTCACATCCGTTGACTCATTCAACTGTATTGCAAACATACCAGTTGGAGACGATTTAATCTCCTGTATCACTTGTTCCATGATATAATGTGACATTTCACTAATTCTCTGTTTCACCGTGTCGTCTGAAAAGGAAATCTGCTGAATCTTGCATTCACTTGCCTCTCCAAGAACCCGCCTGACCATCTTAAAAGCACACGGCTGAATTAAAGTTTCACCAATCGTGTAGGCCATCTTCTTCTTCTTTGCTATTTCAATGGAAACCACATATGATGCCTCAACTACACTTAAGTTCTGTTGTTGGAAGGCACCACTCTCATCCACTCTCTGTTTTCCCAAACTCCGTTCATGGCGCTTGAAGAAATCGGGATCTCTCTCCGCATACTGGGTGTGGATTATCGTCAGATGATGGTTCAGCTTACTAGGCCTCATGGAATCGTTCCCCAGCACTTTGAAACACAACACACACTGAGGTTTTTCGATGCCATCAGCGAGGATTGATGTAAATCCGTAGTTTATGTATTCATCATTGTACTTCCGCTTCTTAGCAACACTGGCAGCCATCGCAATTCTAAGGAAATTATAAAAAAAAATGCCAAACAGACAGAAACAGACGAATGATAAAGACTAAAAATTATAATAATAAAAAACAGAAATATAAGACAATCATGAATCTCTTAGTTTTACTAAAAAATTGAATTCTCTCTCTCTCTCTCTCTCTCTCTCTCTCTCTCTCTCTCTCTCTCTCTCTCTCTCTCTCTCTCTCTCTTTAAATGTTGACTAGTTCTTTAAAGAAACAGAATGTCACAG